TGAGAGGCCCGCGTACCGCAAAAAAAAAAAAAATAATAAATAAAGTTAGTGGTGATAGTTGCACAATTCTGTGAACATACTACAAACCACTAAATTGTACACTTTATTGAGATATAAATCACATGCAATTGTGAATTGTATGGTATGTCAGTTATACCTCAATAAAGCTGTTATTTAAAATTTTTAAACTCAACAGTAAAAAAAATCCAATTAGAAAATGGTCAAAAGACATGAACAGTCATTTCACTCAAGAGGATATGCAAATGGCAAGCAGGATGTTCAATTAGAAAAGATGTTCAATGTCATTAGCTGTTAGAGAAATGCAAATTAAAACCATAATGAGATCTCACTACACATCTATCAGAATAGCTAAAATGAAAACTAGTAACCACACCAAATGGTGGCAAGGATGTAGAGAAAATGGATCACTCACACATTGCTGGTAGGAATGTAAAATGGAGCAACCACGCTAGAAAACAGCTTGGCAGTTTCTTACAAAACTAAACATATAATCACCATACAACCAGGCAATGGCACTCCTAAGTATTTATCCCAGAGAAATGAAAACTTCTGCTCACATATAAACCTGTCTATAAATGTTCACAGTGGCTTTATCCATAATAGCCCCAAACGGGAGACAATCCAGATGTCTATCCCTCAATAGGTGAATGGTTACACAGACTGTGGTACATCTAGGTATACCATGGAACACTACTCAGCAATGAAAAGAACTAACCATTGAAACACTCAGAAACTTGGATGAATCTCGCTGAGTGGAGAAAAGCCAATCCCCAAGGGTTATATATTGTATGATTCCTTTTATACAACATTTTTGAAATGACAAAGTTCTAGAAATTGGAGAACAGATCAGCGGTTGCCAGGGGTTAGGGACTGGAGCCGGGTAAGGGAGTATGGAGGCAGGAGGGAGGTTAGCATGGTTATAAAAGCACGAGCCACACCAGGATCCTAGTGTTGGTGGAACTCTTCCGTATCTTGACTGTGGAACCTACATGTGTGATAAAATTATATATGATGACTAACAAATGGATAAACAAAATGTGATATATCCATACAATGGAATATAATTCACAGACATGCCACAAATGAGTATGTGTAAAATTGGGGAAATCTGAATAAGATCTGTGGATTTTATCACCATCAGTATCCCAGCTGTGATACTGTACTATCATTTTATAAGACATTACCTTTGGGGGAACCTGCATGAAGGGTACACAAGATCTCTCTGTATTATTTCTTATTAATACAACAGCATGTAAATTTACAAATATCAAAAAATTAAAAATTTAATCATTTTTTTAAAAATAGAAAGCAAAGCTGAAAACAGTAGCAAGCTCTGCAATCGTGACAGCCTTAAAACACTGAATGGCCCTGCCTGATCAAAAGGTTCTACCCACAGTGGCAGGCTCTGCAAACAGCTGAAGGCTCTGCAAACACCCATAGATGGCAATGAACAGCTGAAGATGACACAAAGACACTCCAGTCTGTGCAATCCCTTTAAGAAGGAAGTCTTCAATAGGTGATTCTTTAACACCTCCTTAATGCCTGCTTTATAAGAAGAAAGAACCGACCTCAGGTTCTAAGCCTTCAATAGGAAACAGAGTTTAGCTAGATTTCAATAACTTAATTTTGTTTTTTTACAGTATTTCTTTTTAGAATTACCTTCATTTCATGCAAGTGATACTAATTTCCCAGTAAGAGTAGTGATATAAAATATCCTTTAAAAATTGAATTTAAGGTGAAAGAAAACTTTAAAGAAAAGTTAAGTAGTTAGTGGTACAGGTGCAATAAAAAAATGTAAGGGTAGAATGACATGATCTTGGATGTGGTTTGTGAACATCTAAAATTTGGGAAACACTGCTTTCTAGCAGGGGTCAGCAAACTATGGCCTGGGGGCCAAGTTGGGCCTGCTGCCTATTTTTATAAATAAAGTTTTATTGGAACATGGCCAGGCCAATTCATTTAGTATTGTCTATGGCTGCTTCTGAACTGCAAAGGCAGGGTTGAATAGTTGCAACACAAACAGTATGGCCCGTGAAGTCTAAAATATTTACTCTCTGGCCCTTTACAGAAAAGGTTTCCCAATGCCTGATGTGTCACATGCCACGAAGGCATCCCAACTCCAGTCCAGCATGCTGTATGCCCCAGGTCATGAAGCTAGGGTTTGGGAGAATAGCTGCTTCTAAGCAACATACATCTTCTGAGAAAACAATCCAGCTTATGCTCTGGGGTGTGCACCTCTCTCTAGGATTTACACCCAGCCTGGTATTACTATCTTTATTTTTATACTGGCCTTGAACGTGACCATGGACTCAGGGGAGATGTTCTTAGTCATTACTGTATCCTCCACAGGCTTAGCAAAGTGCCTGACAAACAGAGAGTTAGATGGGGCTTATTTATATCCTAAAACCAGCACAGGGCTTTCACGCAACAAATGTTCATATATAATCCCCCCAATGTAGGTTTGCAAAACAACAATCCAAATATTTTAAGAAAAGACTTATCTGCCGGGGCGACCCCACCTCGCCTCAGCGGTGTCAGGTACATAAAGAACATACAGACTCCTTCAGACTCCTTCTCAGAGGTGGATGGTTAATGTTCAGTAATTATAACTCTGCTGGAATATTGGACTGTAATCACCTTATGAGATCTGCTTTGGTAAATTTCACAAGCAAAGAACTTTAATTAGTGGGACTGTATTATCAGAGCTGTACAAAATAAAAATGCAGTATGTGAAAATAATTAGAGTGGCTACTTGAATAATTCCCTTAAATTATAAGATTTATCTGTGCTGGTCTTTCAGCTCCACAAGCCTTCATTAATTAGAGTGTTTTTAAGTGAACACATGCCTCTTGTGGTCTAATATCTTCAGACAAGGAAGTTAGCTATCATCCAGCTGAGAAAGACACTGTCACGCAAAAAAGACGACACAGATAATATTGAAAGATATTATCGACCTACCACTCACAGGGTCAAAACTTTTATTCATTCATTCACATAACAAGAAATTCAGTGTATTTATATAAACACCCCATGCTAGGTTCTTGGATGATACAAAGATGAAATAGGTGTGGAACCTTCTACCATACAACCCAGATGAGGAAATACCGGTGTGTTCAGCAGACCACTTCTCAGGATGCTAATAAAAGTTCATGGTAGGAGGATAGGAAGTTTGTGGTCAAACACGTATGGGAAACACTGAGTTCAACAAAGTTATAAAGAGTTCTCTACTCTGGGGGTTCTTAGAACCTTTAAAATGTTCCCACACAACTGACCACACAAAACCCCCTGGAACTCATCTGTTCACAGAGTACCTCACTGGACTAGTGTCTCATGGAACGCACTTTGAGTAACACCATTCTGGTCAACTGACGCCAAAGCAGCACGTAAGTGCTACAAGAGACAGAGGAGTACTCTGTACTGGTAAAATTTTTAACAACCTCCTCTCCAAAGACAGAAAACAGAAGCCCTGGTGTTTGCCCATTTCCATGGTGTGAATACTTCCATCGTGGCTGATTTCAAGCTACCAGCGTGACATCAATGAACACAGAGCTGGGCAGAGAGCATACAGCTGGTGCCAGGACACTACTCAAGTCTGGGGAGCAAAAGCTAATTCCCAGCCAGGAGAGTGGTGGGCAAGGAGAAAGCACCCTGTGCTCATTGCACTCCCTCCACCCGGTCTGACTTTTCTTGTGATGAACAGCTCATTGTTAAATATAAGCGGAGGGAGTCAGGAAGAATTAGGATTCACTGCATGAAAAGCTACATTACCATTTAAGGGATCTGCAGGCCTTTTTGAGAGCAGCAGCCCACCTTGAAGATTCTACCACCTCCAGTCTAATTCATATATGAAATGTGGTCAGTGTATTCAGAGTATTTAAGAACCTAATGCAGGGCTCCTGTGCTTGGGGGATGGGAAAACAAAAGTCCCCAGGGAGAAACCACAGGATCTAGTGACCAGTATGGATTCGTGATGCTTACCTGCCTGGCTTTTTGATAAATGACCCCAAATTTGAATGTGTTGTTGACGTCATGCTCATCGTAGGACACGATCATTTGGGAGGCCTGGAAAATGTGGGAAGAAGAAATCAGATTATTAACCTGGAGGCAAAATGAGGAGGCAAGTGGAAGGGGAAGCACCCATTTTGGTGGAGAACATGCCCCCCTGATATGAAACATCCACACATGGAGGAAGAGAAAGGGTGAAGTCCAAAGTACACGGTCAAGATGCAATTCCAAAGGTCTCAGCTGTTCCCAGCCCCTGGACTTCCGCCAGTGGTGACCAAACCTCTGGATCACCCATTCCATTTCCCTCCAGATATGCCAGCCAAGGCCTGGACACACAGACAGTCCAGCAGGACGCGGGGAACTGACTTTATCCCAGTGTTCTATCTGGGGAGTAAAAAGTGCAGCCGGGACCCCAAAACCAGTCAGCGAGGATGATGCTGGCTCCAATTCCACCTCTAAGCAGCAGTGTGATTTTGAGCAAGGCACTGCTCCTGCCCAGACTTCAATCCCCTTTATCCATAAAATAAGAGGTCTCTAAGGAGGAACATACGCTAATTCAATATGCAAAGAAGAAACAAACAAAAAAACCCTGACCACTGGTTCCATCGAATTTTCTATTGTGCTTCAAAGAGTTGGTCAGAAACACTAAGTTCTCATTTTGAATCCACTGCTTTCACCTGTGCAGCTTTGAGTGAGCCACTTAACTTCCCTGGGCCTCAGTTTCCTCATCTGTTTCTTTATTATTATTATTTTATTTTATTTTTTTGCCATGCTGCGCAGCATGCGGGATCTTAGTTCCCCGACCAGGGATCGAACCTGTGCCCCCTGCATTGGAAGTGCAGAGTCTTAACCACTGGACCACCAGGGAAGTCCCTCCTCACCTGTTCAATGGAGACGTGTGGCTGTGAAGATTCAGGGAGATCGAGCACATGAAGTGCTGAGCACACAGCAGCTATTATCATCATCATCTATGTAAACCCTCCAGAAAGATCAGAGTTGGACCAGCTTGTTAGGAAACACAAGACTTGGGGACTATTGGGATGGTCTCTGCAATAAAAAGGAGGGATTCGACCACATGTTTTGCTACAGGAAGAACAAACCAGGCATGACTTTTTGGCCAGAGTATGTGGCCCATGTCAGGTTGTCATCCCTGACATATCTCTGTGTGGCTCTCAGCTGCCTGAGGAAATGGACACTTCTCAGCTCCCCCTGGAAGAACAGCGCTGCCCGATCCCAAAGAGCGCCCCCCACTCCCGCCTGGGATGAGTCAAAGGCTTGGAGCAGCTGCCCTGCCCGGGAAGAGGCACCCGGTCATGGGCACCTTCCAAGGAACATTCTAAACTCTGTGAATTGTAAAAACACACACACATCTCAGCCAGATTAACATCCCAGCCGGACGAAGCAGTCCTTCCAATCTAGAAAACATGAAAATACAGCTGCTCTCCCATTATTACCAGAGCCGGAGGCTTTCCAAGCCATAGAGAAAACTGCAAAAATGAGAGTCATCGGGTTCTCTCAGTGGCTGTGATTTGACAACAAAAATTGCCAAACTTGTAGTTAAGTTAGGGCTTTATGATGGGGTTTTGATGTTTGGTTAAACCTCACAAATTCAGCTTTAATTATAAAGGGGAGGGCAGTCTGAATGATAGAAAGTATTCCATGGAGCACAGCATCTTACTGGGAAGCGCCTACAGATGCTCGGGGGGTAAAACAGGCGTCTGAGAGAAGGGCTCTGGCACATTCTCTGTGCAGGAGAGGACCCTGCCATTAGCTCAGCCCCCGGCATGGGGACAAATAGTGTGTCAAGCCCAATTGTGAAGATATGAGGCTTCATTCCAGGGGGTTCTGGGTATCCCAGCCAGGAGAGGACCCCTCTCCCCTCATCAGACATCTCACCTCCTGGTTCCTGGCTGTCAGAACCGGAACTCGGAATGGACTGAATCAGCGCCAGCCAGCCTGCCCTAGCGAGCCCCAGCCGGCCCACGGCGGATGCTGGGAAGCACTGCCCTGCTTCCACGGCCTCTCCCCAGGCCCTGTGGGCTCACGAAGCAGCAGCCAGTGCCCTGGGTCTCTTCCTATGGCCTATTTAAAGCGATTCACTGTCCATGGGTGATTAAGTCCTCTCACAGCATAATTGCTCTTGAGCGCGCTTGGGAGTTTGTTTTGTTATTATCGCTCTTCACCCCACCCACACCCCGACATCAGGACCAGGGTCAAGTTCAGGCCAAGCCTAAGGAAACTGTTAACAGAGAACCAGCCAAGTTTATTAACTAGGGGGCCGGCAGAGGCTTGTAAGGCCTCAGACCTGTAGCAATGTTGGCAACAGGGAGCCGAGGTCTGGCCTTTTATTTCTTAGTGGGGTTCTGCCTTCTGCCCCCCTCGCCCCCTTCCTGATGGCTGACCAGGTCTGCAGCAGCCCCCCAGCTAGAGGCAGAATCACTCCCCAGCCCAGCACTGGCCTCAGGCAGGTATGACCAGACTGAGAAGCTGCACCACTGCTACCTGTCTGCCACCTCCACACAGCTGGGGACCAATTCTAGCGGGCTGGGGACCCAGGCATGGCTGAGGACGGATTTCCGGCAGATCAGTTTGAGAAGGGGTGGGCAGGGAGAGGGGGAGACATGGAGGTTTATCATGGAGACCCTGCAAAACCCCCCAAGATGCAGAGAACTTCCCACAGAGCCCCAGGCGTGCCAAATGGCAGAGCCCTGAGCAAGGGGAGCGGGGGGGAAGGTCCTCACCTTGGGGTACAGGACAGGGTTGAATTTCAGCCCCACTGCGTCGTCACAGAAAGCCTAAGCAGGGAGAGAGAAACACACAGCTCAGAGGCCACGTCCACGGAGGGCACCTGCGCTCCTCTGCCCACCAAGAAAAAGCATGAGGCCAAGACCTGCGGGGCTCAGGGGGCCTGGGGTCAGATCCTGGTGCTACAACTGCTCACTCGCGTGTGGTCAGGAAAGTCAAGGGACCTTCCTGGGGTTTCCTGCT